CTCTTGCTTTAATTTTTATAGAATAGCTGCTCATGCGCAAAAGATCAAATTTGCCTTTACAACTTCACCACAAACAGCCATCGATGTGAATGTATTGAAGGATCTCAGTGCATGCGCTGTAAGTATCAAAGCATAAATTAAATAGAATATATATGCATGTATATTGTTATATTCTATTGTATCGAGTCGTTTTAAATTGAGCAATACCATAAGTTACCTCGTAAATACACTCATTATTTGGCTAGAGAATCGAGTATCATTTGTGCGAGAAAGCGACCGTCTTTGCCATCGAGTAGCTATTGGATTGACCTGGATGAAGGCGATCCCAGCAACGCTTTTCTTGGTTACTGTGACATGGAAACAGACGGAGGTGGATGGACACTCGTACGTTTGTGCGACTTCAATAAAACGATTTTCTTTCGACAAATCGTAGAATTTTGAGACGTGGCTCACGTGGTTGCGTATTACTGATGTTTCCAAGTCGTACGGTTATTTACGTACATGGTGCGAAACTATTTACGAGTAGGATACGATAATCGCACCGTTTAAATATGACTATCGACTACCTGTACGCAAACCTGCCAATGTAGAGCAAGGCAAAGCCGAAAATTCTTAAAACGTAGGCTTTTATCGATATACTTTACAGTGCCGACAACAGCCCAARGTCTTAACCAMRCGTTTTCCCAATATGSAAACTCAACCACCGCAACTGATCCAAGCAACACAYCACTAACTTCAGTCACTAATGCGYCYACCAAAAAGCCTTTCTSTACTACTATTTCACCTGCTCCTAGTATTGGGATGAATACAGAACATGCTGACAGTGCTACTGAAACTCCAAGACCAACATCACTTCTGATWASWTCGTCTCAATCATCTGTTACTCCTGTTATCAYCGCAAACACTACAGGACTTGTTGGCAGTGCTACTACTTCAGTAGTTGTGAGTTATTTTTCTGGTCTGTTTGAACGTGTGTGTGTTTTGTTTTATCGCTTTGAAAATTTGGTGTTTCCAGATGATTSTGGTCCTGATAATTCTTTTTCTTCATATTGTTGCTGTTCTTCCTCGTGAATTTTTGTTTATGATATTACCCTTGCTATGGYTGCTTTAACTCTTGTTCTTTTGGTCTCTTATTATTTTATCGTCTTCTTCTTGTGAATTTTATTTGCTTGTTCTGAAACTATACTCTCAATCAAACAATTGCTTCAGAGAAAAATTCATTCGGTTGCCAAACTTTTGCTGACCATATATGGTAATCCTACCTTATAAGGAAGTAAGTTAGAAAGTTTTTTTAAAGTTTTTTTCTAACATTTAGTGCTTTAAAATGGCTAAAACTTAGAGAATTTGTAGAGAAATTGCTTTACAACATGTCGGCCATTATAATTTTGTC